ATTGGAGCCTCAGCTTCACGATCTGTCCTTCCAGTGAGCACTCAGGCCTGATTTCCTTCAGAATGGGTAGGTTTGATCTTCTTGCAGTCCATGGGACTCTCAAGAGTCTCCTCCAGCACCACAGTTCAAAAGCATCAATTCTTCGGCAATCAGCCTTCTTTATGGTCCAGCTCTCACTTCCATACATCACTACTGGGAAAACCATAGCTTTAACTATACGGACCTGCTTTTTAAGATGCTGTCTAGGTTTGTCATTGCTTTTCTCCCAAGAAGCAGGCGTCTTTTAATTTCGTGGCTGCTGTCACCATGTGATCAGTCAAGAAAGTTCTAACATAGAGAGTCCATAAGCACGAGACAGTGCCTTTACATGTGGGTTGTGTTCAAAGCTACCAAAAATTGAACCAAGGCGGCAGCAGGACCTAAGGCATTTAGCAAAACAAGTACAAAAATACCCCATTTAGCATACATGTCGTGTTTGTATTTTTAATTTTTAAAAAGTATACTTGAAAATTTGTACGAATTTTTATATGTGTTTCTCCAAATATATGCAACTTGTGCACACAATTTTGCCTGTGTATTTTTGATTTCCTCCCAATGGAATGCAATTTTGTACACTATTTTCAATAATTTTTCATTTTTGTATGCACATTTCATTACCGTACAGGCAGCTTTGTTTGCGTTCATTGGTTGGAGACCTGCATTACAAAACTCGGGAAAGTGTTTGGTTTGGGCAGCATGAATTTTGTAAGCTCACATTAATCATGCAAACCAAACTAACTTCTCCCCCATCACTACCCTAGACATACATTTTCTGTGAGGCCATGGGTTTTTGGTATGTAGCACTTGCTTGCTGATTTAATTGTTTGTAGCTCATCACGTGCCCAGTACTGCTTTCAACCTTCGCTTATGCATTACCTCTTAGCACAGAGCCTATCCGTGTACAATTTGTACAGGTTTCCCCACCCCATGTGATCAGGAACCATGTCCCTTATCTTCACAAAAACGCCTTTGTACTTTGTTTACTCTTGTCCGTGGGAAAAACTCGTTATTCAATGGGAATTCAGAACCACAGAAGGAATGTACAGAGATACGCTATGGCACTTTTATGTGACATGAGCTCAGCTAAATCAATCAATACTTAGGTCCCTCTTGGTAAGTAAGTAGCTATATGCCCCCTGGTGGCCAAAGAACTTACTTTGTCCCCTGGTTTTAATCATACCAGATTTGATCAGAGTGGGGGACACATTGCTCCAGGTTGAGGATGTTGGCTTTCCAGAGATACTTTGATAAGTCAAAGAAGGGCCATGATGCCGGTACCTTTCTGGCTGTCCAGAGCTTTCTGTGTTACCCACAACCAGTAGTACATCACTGTCTTGCAGATAGGTGCCTTAAAACGAGAGGCACCTTTCTTCCTGGGTCAGGTCAGCTGTTAGTAATTTGCACTTTGGAGTCTCTGGTAATAAAATCAATCTATTTTCAGCGTAGGATTAGCAGCAGGAGACCTGCTGGTTTCCCCATATTTGGTCCCTGCAGCAAAGGACACCTAACAATCATTGGTCAGTTAGAAACATTAACTAAAGTGCCCCTTTCCAGCAAGAAAGCCTGTGTGTTGCAGACCAAGGACGTTCTCTCTCTTTCTGGAAAAGGCTTGGGAAAAAATGCACAGCCCAGTTACTGCAATGAAGCATTACTAATGTGCTCAGAGGCTTAAGTATTAATTGCACTAGCAAAACCAAACAAAAAGAACATCCAGGCAAAGTGCAACAGAGAACTACAAGCCTGAGTAAAAGTCAGCTCTGAACTGCTAGTATTTCAGCCCCTTGTATAACAGTTTTATATAAGCAATTTTTCCAGCTACTGTTAATGATGAAACAGTAGGTTCCTGACTCATAGAGGGTTAATTTCTCAAGTGAGAGGTTCGGAAGTTCAAGTCTTCCTGGAATGAGTAACTTGCAACCTGGAACCTCTGCCCCATAAGTTAACAGCCCTGACCTGAGATATATACTTCTTCCCTCTTTATCAGCACTGGATGAGCCCAGTCAGTTAGGGATCATACAGTAAGTGTGATGACATCACAGTGCCATGTAACCAATCAGATTTAGCAGCCTCATTAAGGGCAAACAAATCCTCAGAATTTTCAGGTAGGCCTAGGAATTTTCCCTTCCCTAGTCAGAGCAGACAGTACTGAGACAGACCAATGGACTAGCAGCTTCCTCTGTTCTTATTCTAATGCATACCATGGATTGGGGAGCAAAAGTGGAAGAGGGTTGTTTCAAGCTTGGAGTATGTGGCTGGTGACTGTCTGGGTTGCTGGACTTGGTAGACTTGTGTTCTGCCCCAGCATGGATCTTCTTATGCAACATGACAAGGAATGTCAGCACAGTTGCCTCAGCAACAAGAATGCATTCCCTCTTCTTCTTGACACTCACCCCCGCTTACTGGATGAATACTTTTAGCTTCCTTTTGCAATAGCCTATGATAGGGTTAGGGACGCGGGTGGCGCTGTGGGTTAAACCACAGAGCCCAGGACTTGCCGATCAGAAGGTCGGCGGTTTGAATTCCTGTGACGGGGTGAGCTCCCGTTGCTCGGTGCCTGCTCCTGCCAAACTAGCAGTTCGAAAGCACATCAAAGTGCAAGTAGATAAATAGGTACCGCTTCGGCGGGAAGGTAAATGGCGTTTCTGTGTGTTGCTCTGGTTCGCTAGAAGCGGCTTAGTCATGCTGGCCACATGACCTGGAAGCTGTACGCGGCTCCCTCAGCCAATAAAGCGAGATGAGCGCCGCAACCCCAGAGTCGGCCACGACTGGACCTAATGGTCAGGGGTCCCTTTACCTTTACCTTTATGATAGGGTTGCCATATGCCCTCTTTTCCCAGGACACATCATCTTTTTCATGGGTATGTAAAATGAGAGTCGTCCTAGAGATCCATAGTTAGAAGTAGAGTCATACCTTGGTTCTCAAACAGAATGCATTCCACGAGTCTGTTTGACTTCTGGAACTGTTCGAAAACCAAGACGCTGCTTCTGATTGGCTGCAGGATTGGCTGCAGGCTGCCACTTCAAAATATGAACTGTATACTGTATATAACAGGTATACTTTAGTCCGGATCACTTTTTATTCATGTGCCAATTGAGGACAACAGCAGATTCACCTTATAACTGAATTTGAAGTAGCAAAGTCACAGCAGCTTGTGTACATTTAGTATAATTAACACTGAGATAATTAATCATTACAAATACAGTGGTACCTTGGTTCTTAAACTTAATCCATTCCAGGATTCAACTGTTCAACTCCCAAACTTAATCCATTCCAGGATTCAACTGTTCCCAAAACCGTTCGAAAATCAAGGCGTGGCTTCCGATTGGCTACAGGAGCTTCCTGCACTCAATCAGAAGCCGTGTCGGACATTTGGCTTCCAAAAACATTCGCAAACTGGAACACACTTCCGGCTTTGGGGCATTTGGGAGCTGATCTGTTCGACAGCTAAGCTGTTCAAGAACCAAGGTACCACTGTACAAAGGCAAATCTCCTGGAGATGTTGCTGGGCTTCCACATATCATGGGTAGATTTGTTTCCCCCTCTTTTAAAAAGAGTTTAGTCAGTATACATGAGTGGAACTGATGCTTCTTTGTGACTGCGCATATATATGCAGCCCCTAATATGAACTTGTAGTAAATAGCAATTCAATCCTGACAGACAGTTCCTTGTGCAAGTCTTTTGACATCTTGTTTGCTAACCTTGGAAGAAGAGGATTAACCTACACTTTGTACAGAGATTTAATTTTCTACTAGACCAACTCTGGAAATTATTGTGTGTTTTATGTCTGAAGATGCTAGCCTATTCCTCTAGCTGGCGCACACTGAAGAAACCTAAGCACTTCTTTTCTGGTTCACTAATTCCCTGTCCAGTCTGAACCAACCTCACACAGACGCCAGAAAGTGCAGAGCCTCCGAGGCATAATTTCAAAGAGTACCATCCGGGCAAAGGACTTTGGCGTCGTGCTTGTTTGAACTTGATTCTCCTTCCCCTCCTTCCTTAAAAGAAAGAACTCGGATAAGGTCAATTAAACTGGTTTGGAGGTGGATGAAACTGGTGTGCTGTGTTAACAGTGCACATGGCTGGTATTTTCACAGTCAGAGATTCCAAGGCAGGAAAAGACCGATAACTATCCAGTCAGAGTCACTGAACACAGTAAAAGCTGTTGAATGCCCAACTCTTTGTGAATGTTTGAATTAATTAAACTTTCAAACCTCAGCAGAGTGGATAAAGGCTGTTTTAAATCTTCTCATTTGGTTGCCATGCTTTACCTGTTTGAACTGGTAAAAAACTAGGAATAGGATGGAACTTGTTATCTATCTATCATCTCTCTCCTCCCTCCCTCCCTCCCTCCCTCTCTCTCTATATATATGTCATCTATCTATCATCTATCTATCTATCTATCTATCTATCTATCTATCTATCTATATCTATCATCATCTATCTATCATCTATCTATCTATCTATCTATCTATGAATCTATCTATCATCTATCTATATATCTATCTATCTATCATCTATCTATCTATCTATCTATCTATGAATCTATCTATCATCTATCTATCTATCTATCTATCTATCTATCTATCTATCATCTATCTATCTATCTATCTATCTATCTATCTATCTATCTATCTATCTATCTATCATCTATCTCTATCTATCTATCTATCTATCTATCTATCTATCTATCTATCATCTATCTATCTATCTATCTATCTATCATCTATCTATCTATCATCTATCCACACACACACACACACACACACACACACAGTACCAAACATTTCATCAGATTTTTCTTGTGTTCTGTTACACCATGTTGTAACTGAAAAAAACCCGAGCAAGTAGTAAAGAGATGAAATGTTCTTGTTAAGATTTCAATGGGATTTGTACAAAAGCACTTCCTGGTAGATTCTACTTACTGTTAATAACCAAAGGATATAAAATATCATTCAAAGGACTGATTTATTAAGTGCATAGTAAAAGCATGGTAAAAGTAATTTGATCCCAAGTGTTGTAAAACCAACAACTGAATGAACAACTAAGTTCACATGAATGTCTTTGAATTAATATAAGTATATCTCTTCATTCAGCTAAGACATTTAAGATGCTCTTCAAAAGATTGCATGGCATTATTCTTTTTGTACTCTTGACCAAAAACAATAATAGCTATCTTTTTCAAATATTCTCACTGTCACCTGTATTCTCTTGCTGTAACGTCTAGTTTGATCAGCAAATGGATGCAATGACAGGAAGTTAGTTGATTAATTTTTAAAAGTTCTTCAAAACAGATGACAGTCCCTTCAAAAAATCAAGGAAACGAAAAGGTACACAATTTTGAAGAATGGCAGCAAGAGACAGTATTATACATTCCACGAAAGTTTCCAGTGATCATGTACTAAACATGAAGCAGATGAAGAAAGCACAAATTTGAATTACAGGCAGCTCGTTCTATTTATTCCAATACATAAGTCCACATCCGTTTTAATAAACAGGCCTGTCCTTGAGTTCTTTCTTGATGTTGCTTTCCTTCTATTAGCTATTTCCTCATATATTTGCACAATAGGAACAACCTCCTTACAGCCATATGTATCTTAGGGACCTAGCTAGGGCCAAAACTCTTTTGCTAACTGGCACTGTGGAAGATTGATGAGCTTTACCTAGAAATCTGGCTATTCACATGAAGCTTCATGAGATAAAAGGACATTCTGAATATCCATGGGGGCCTCATCATTTTGTAAGTGCCAGATTGGTTTCTAGGGCTCCTCTCCCCGCAACCCCCAGCATCCCCTGAGGTTTATGTTTGTATAATCAGTGATATCTTAAGCACAGGAAGCCCTCAGCCATCCTAAGAGTGGAACAATAAGTTGTATGCAATCATAGAACACTCTAGATTAATATTGTCTTCGAAGGACACTATAAACCAGAGAAACAATATGATGAAAAGGGAAACTCTGAATAAGTACTCCCCAAACACTGAAAACAGCTACAATTGAAAATATTGAAAGAGCTGCCTTCTTCCAATAAATAAAAAAGGTTATCCTAAAATAATTAAGACTAAAGGCAGCATTAAAATGCTGTGATTGCATCAGCATTGCTTTGATGGATGAATAGATTCCAGTGAAACTACATCAGTTCAGTAACTTTATTTCCAGTCAGGAATTAGCCAAAGTTATGAGCAGCTATTGATGATTTGATGTGCTGCAGCTTAGCTGGTCATGTTCCTAGATGTCGTTCTTCTTTGTTGTATTGCCTTTTTTCGGTCCAAGTAGTTCATGGTTTTTGTCACCCATGGAAGATCATGTGGCACACAGACCTTGACACCTCTTCTGGTGATTAAGCTGCAAGAGAATAGAAAGCAAATCACTAAGTTTAATTTTGTTGAAGAATTATTGTGGATTGTATTTCTATGTGAAATATAAAACACAGTGCTTTGGGCAGCTGTTCTGTGTCCACTAGGAGCAAGTGGAATCCAGCACAATGGGACTCAATGAGACTTATTTCTGAGTAGACTTGCAAAGGATTGCAGCTAAAATTTTATTGGCTTCCGGTTGGATTGATGTCAATAATAGGTTGGAAGTTTGAATGATGAATGCTGGACACTATTAGATGCCTCCACTTAAAACAAGAACACAAGAAGAGCCTGCTGGATCAGGCCAATGGCCCATCTAATAATAATAATAATAATAATAATAATAATAATAATAATAATTTATTTGTACCCCGCCCATCTGGCTGGGTTTCCCCAGCCACTCTGGGCGGCTTCCACAGAGACCAAAAATACACTAAAATGTCACACATTAAAAACTTCCCTGAACAGGGCTGCCTTAAGATGTCTTCTGAATGTCAGGTAGTTGTTTATTGCTTTGACATCTGATGGGAGGGCGTTATTTTAAATTAGTATTTTAAATTAGTTTTTTTCCCCTATTGTGTTTTTATTGTAATTTTACTGGTGTTAGCTACCCTGAGCCCGGCTCTGGCCGGGGAGGGTGGGGTATAAATATTATTATTATTATTATTATTATTATTATTATTATTATTAGTCCAGCATCCCGTTCTCGCAGTGGCCCAGCAGATGCCATGGGAAGCATGCAATTGGGACCCGAGGGCAAGAGCATGCTGCCTCTGATAGGGAGGCAGAGCATAGCCATGATGCAATAGTCTCCTATATTAATCACATATTTGGTCACCCACCCAGACAGTTATCAGATAGAACATGGAATGAACATTGCATAGTATACACTGGTAATACTACTACTTCTAACTGGAATCTGTGTTTCTTTGGAAAGTCACGCAAGCATGTCTCTTTCTTCAGACTTGTAGGCTACTTTACAGTTGCAGATTAGGCAAGATACTTACATCACAGCTTTTACTGGTCTGGTTTGGGTTGTATAACTAGCAAATCTTCGGATGTTCATTTCATTTGTGTCCAAGGTTATACAGGAGTCGAGTGCCATAGTCTGAGATCCAAGCGTTCCTTAAAAAGAGATAAAATATAAGTTTAACTGGCATCAAATAATCAAGAACATTATTATTATTATTAGAATTAGAATTAGAACTTATTTCCTTCCCCTCACCCTAATGTCTCAGGGCAGGTACAACAATTTAAAAAACCTCCGTTAATATAAAAACACGCTATTTAAAAGTGTAAAACAACTTTAAAATACAAAAAATAAAGGGGTTCCTTATAGGGCTTTTGTTCCTGCATGTCTGCAAGTGATTCTGATTCCTGTTGGTCTTCTAGCTATTGGATTTACAATACAAAAAGGCACAACTGTTACTCATTTAGGGTGGTGATTGAAATCTCTCTCTCCCCCACCCTGAAAACTGCACTTCTACTGCAAGGAAAACATTTCTCGGCTTTTATCAATCCAGGTAGGAACATAGGTGCACAGAAAAAGATTTCAGCATCTATATGGAAATTATCATTAGGAGTCCCCTATTTGGCCAAAACATGAGAAGAGAAGACTCCCTGGAAAAGACCCTGATGTTGGGAAAGATGGAGGGCACAAGGAGAAGGGGACGACAGAGGACGAGATGGTTGGACAGTGTTCTCGAGGCTACCAGCATGAGTTTGACCAAACGGCGGGAGGCAGTGGAAGACAGGAGTGCCTGGCGTGCTCTGGTCCATGGGGTCACGAAGAGTCGGACACGACTAAACGACTAAACAGCAACAACATTTATCCTCTGAGAACTACAGTTCTCAGAATTCCCAGTGTGGAGATGGATTGCTAAACTGCTCTGCGAATTTTAGCTCAGAGAGGGAAATAAGGTTATTCAAACAATTCTTGGCACCCTTAACAAACTATGCTTCCCAGGATATAAAAAAACATACTACTACTATTCATAATATTTTAAACATACCTGTAATAATATATACACTGAAGAGCTCGAAAAAAGCGATGGTCAGAATGGCTGCTGTGTAGAGTTTCATGGTTGATCCTTTCCTGAGGTGATGGGACTACAAGTAAGTAAGGGTTCCCCTCAGCAGATTTTTATAGCTCGCTGGACCCTTCCTGGACCCTTCCTGAGCAAGAGGCGTAATGGGGAGGATGAGAGGCGGAAAATCTGAGAACACACTTCAGGTGAAGGGGGGGGAAACCTTCATCTCTGCTAGCCCCTCATCGACAGCTTTTTCCTGCCACAATGTGGTTACTGCTTTAGCACTTCAAAAGTCAGTTTTATTTTAGGAACAAAAGAAAGTTCTTTCTCTGCAGTGGAAACCAGTAATGTGTCTATGGTTTCATCTTGATGCTGCTCAGAAGAGCCACAATGCACCACACAAATCAGGGAGAAAATGTGTAGCTCAGAGAAGAGGCTCATGTGTACCAATGGAGAACCATAACAGGACTTCAAAGATAATCACTCGCTCCATTTCTAATGATCGGGTGTGAGTACTGTTGGCCGTGGGACCAAACCAGCACCACTGTCTCACGCACAAGGAAAGTATTGGCAGGACTGTGGAAACCAAAAGCAGGCCAATGTGGACTGAGTGTGCTCAGTAGCCAGGGAAGGCCAACTTACTGGGGTGGGGAGAAGAAAATCAGGTTGGAGAGGGAATGACATATCCTGGGGGAGGGCAATTGATATTCCGAAGCATCACTGCACTGGTGTGTTTTCACTGTGCCAACCTTACTCAACCCTGCCAGCACCAGCAATGTCAGTAGTGGGAGGTCATGTAAGTGCCAGGACCTTACCCTGCTGACAGTGCTAGCTGCAACCCAACATGGAAACCCTATGCATAATCCTACTAAATCTAGTTGGTTTAATAACAGTATTAGGCTAGCAAGATCTTGTGAGATCTTCCTGAAATCTCACAAGATCTCATGAGCTCTGTAAGATCTTGCAAGAGCTCAGTGAGATCTCACAAGATCTCACCAGAATCTGCCATTGTTGCTGCCAGGCACCTCTGCACAATCCAGGTAAGGGAGGCTTGGGCAGTGGTGAAATTTTCAGCATGTTGTACGCTGAAAGAAAATGATATGAAAATGATGTACCGGTGGTATTTGACTCCTAGTAAGCTTGCAAAAATGTATAAGACAAGTGCAAATATCTGCTGGCAATGTAAGAAAAAGGAAGGCACCTTCTATCATATGTGGTGGACCTGTAAGGTTCTAAAAGCATTCTGGGGAAGCATGAACCACAAAAATCATACATCCACTGTTTCGTTCAGAATATATTATTTATTTTTTTCCTCCTCTAAAAACTAGGTGCGTCTTATGGTCAGGTGTGTCTTATGGAGCAAAAAAGACGGTAATTATGTTCAAGTACCTTAACATCGGTTCAGTCATCACCGGCACTGAATTTGTTTTGTAGGTCAGGCTGAAAGAAAGAGGTAAAGCAGTGCGAAATATATGCAGAAATTAATGGCTTTTGGAAAATGTTTCCATGGGCAGCTGTGCATATTAAAGGGGCTAAACTTCCGAGTAAGAAAGATATCCCTACTTGGGATGCAAACGCTAAAATCTCTAGAGAACAGTATTTATTGGATGCTTTTGGAAGAAAATACCACTGAGGCAAACAAGGGCCTAGATCAAGAGTGGTCAACTTGCAGCCCCTCCAGATGTTGTTGAACTCCCATCAGCCCTACCAACATAGCCAGTGGCCATTATGGGAGTGTAGTCCAACATGTGGAAGGTCACAGGTTCTCCATCCATGAGATGAATGAAAGGTGAAGATATTGTCAGGGGCTGGGCAGAGGAGGAGGAGTGGTGGAGACCGCCTCCCCATCCCAACCCTTCCAGAGCATAGGAAGAGGAAGACAGTACAGATTTACAACAGCGATTTGCGAGAGTTCATAGCTCAGAGGCAGATAAGGGGAGAAGTGGGGGGGGGGGGGAGGGGAGGGGAGGGGAGAGGAGAGGAGAGGAGAGGAGAAGCAGCAGCTGGCTGACACATTGTCACTAGAAAGCATTCCAGACCCACCATCTCCCAGAACCCGGCGAGCCTTAAAAATAGGAGAGTAAAGAGATCGAAGACAGAGGGCACTTAGTGGCACCCGTAGAGGAGATGATGATGACGACGAATGAGGAAGTGGGAGAGAAGGGGGGTGGAGATTCACTCGGGACAACGCCATTATCCCAGAAGCTGGGTTCTCTAGACTGTCTCTGTAAAGTTTGAAATAAAAAAAGGACTGTAAGAGCCATTTCCTTGTCTTTATACTTTCCTGGGCAATTTAATCCTCAGCATGACGCTGCATTGCCCCTTTTCATCCTCGCCACTGTGGATCTCCCACCCTTCTGCCCTTTTTCAGGTTGCGTCATTGGCCTTGCTATGGGCTGACAGCACCCTGACAGATATGTACACCAGCATACCAAAATTCCAACCTTATGTGCTGTGAGTGACAGGAGTTAAAAAAAGTGAAAGATGAGCTTTGATATTTAAAAAAATGTACATTTAATTTCAGATACTCTTATTAGATCTCTTTAAAAATCCATATAATTAAAAAGAACCCTTAATATTACAATTTTTCTGATTTATAATTATAAGATGAAACATCCACATACCCTGTTCTAGGTATCGTTGATGCCTGTTTTCATCAGGCTAATCTACAATATCTATAAACATTTGTTGGGGCAATTTCCAGAAGTAGTTTTATATTTACAATATGAGCAAATTCCAGCAATTCATGGACACTTTGTTGACATCTTGCTTTTCCACCTGATGACATGAAGGATATAATTAGGAGCAAGTGTAATTTCGCATCTAGACTGTGTAGCTCTAGAGTCTGCCATGAAATTACATGGAGATGCATTCCCTTAGAGTGCTGAATAGGGGAGCAGGTGGCGCTGTGGTCTAAACCACTGAGCCTCTTGGGCTTGCTGATTGGAAGGTCAGCAGTTTGAATCTGCACAACGGGGTGAGCTTCTGTTGCTCTGTCCCAGCTCCTGCCAACTTAGCAGTTCGAAAGCATACCAATGCAAGTAGATAAATAGGTACCACTGCGGTGGGAAGGTAAAAGCCATTTCTGTACACTCTGATTTCCGTCACTGTGTTCCATTGCGCCAGAAGCGGTTTAGTCTTGCTGGCCACATGACCCAGAAAGCTGTCTGTGAACAAACACTGGTTCCCTTGGCCTGAAAGTGAGATGAGCGCTGCACCCTATAGTCGCTTTTGACTGGACTTAACTCTCTCTCTCTCTCTCTCTCTCTCTCTCTCTCTCTTCTCTGTGTGTGTGTGATTATTATATTATCATGGGATTGGGAGTTAACCTGGTTGTCATCTTTGGTGTCCCCTCCAATCCTGTAGTTTTACACCTGTAGGATGAGATTCTGTAGAAAATGAGACTGCTAAAATTATCAAAACAAACCTCTTTGTTAAGTTAAAAGGTAAAGGTAAAGGTACCCCTGCCCATACGGGCCAGTCTTGACAGACTCTAGGGTTGTGCGCTCATCTCACTCTATAGGCCGGGGGCCAGCGCTGTCCGGAGACACTTCCGGGTCACGTGGCCAGCGTGACAAAGCTGCATCTGGCGAGCCAGCACAGCACACGGAAACGCCGTTTACCATCCCGCTAGTAAGCGGTCCCTATTTATCTACTTGCACCCGGGGGTGCTTTCGAACTGCTAGGTTGGCAGGCACTGGGACCGAAAGACGGGAGCGCACCCCGCTGCGGGGATTCGAACCGCCGACCTTTCGATCGGCAAGCCCTAGGCGCTGAGGCTTTTACCCACAGCGCCACCCGCGTCCCTTAACTTTGTTAAGTTAATGGCTTTCAAAAAGTCCGTTGTATCTTTTGGACTATAGGTGACTGGCTGCCACAGAAACTAGTGGCTGGAGATGCTTCCAAAAGATGGGCTTTTACCTGACTGGAATGTGTCCTTGAACTCTGATCCTGCCTCATTCTTGCCTGGATGGAGGACAGGTGTGCATTTTTATGTGCATGTAGAAACTAGCCTACTATAGAAACATAAAATTTAAATTCATTTCTCCACCCAGAAGGGAATGCGGCCCTTGAGCTGATATAGGTTCCTTACTGCTGTGTAAGAGAACAATAGACCTGGGACCAATCTCAACTTGCAGCTGAAGCTGGGAACACACAGGTGCCCAATTCTGTTCTGTGAGAATCCAGTATAATGGCATTGGGAAACCACCTAGATATCTAATGGGAGAACAAACTCTGTTGAAGTGTTAATGCTGCACACCCTTCCATCTTACACACAGTCTATTTAAAGGTGTGAATAAAACCATATTTCATGAAGACACCACTGTTTCCTGTGACTTTCATTCTATCATTATCAGATTATCAAGGACATGGTCCAGCCGTCCAAAAGCACCCAAAGGAAGCAGAGCAGGGCAGGTAAGGGGTGTGACCTAGGGACTATCCTGAGGGCCAGACTGACAGCCTTGGTGGGATGCATTTATCTTTCAGGTCTGGGGTTTCCTACTCCCGCCATAGGTCATCTGTTTATACGAGCTGGCTTTCTGAGCTGAGTTTTCACTCTGGTTTATGTGGCTTCACATACAGCTTAGTGATGTCACTGGGTCGGTTTCCACCAGGCTTTTTTTCTGTGCCTGAAATAATACTAACCAGTGAAATGTTAGAAAGTGACCATATCGTGACAGGGGAAAAAAGCTTCCGGTGAGTGACAGCACAGAAAGGTTTCGTTGGACAAAAATGATCATCTGCCTCTCATCCTCCCCATTACGCCACTTGCACATGAAATGTCCAGTGACCTATAAAGGTCTGGTGAAGGGAGTCTTGAGTTACTTGCACTCTCATCACCTGAGGAAAGGTCCAACCATGAAATTCTATATGGCAGCCATTCTTGCCATTGCTTTCCTTGAGCTCTTCAGTGTATGCATTATAAGAGGTATGTGTGTGATTTTATTCTTCTATTCAGCAGCAGCATCCAAATTGCTATTTGGGGTAAAATCCTTACATTGCTTTAGATAGTGGCAGAACAGCTTTCAGTGCTGCCAGAACCCTAATCCATTTTATTGTGTATCCAGTTCCCGAAACAGATACAAGGTCTTGTTTTATGGATGATGTTAAAGTATAACATATGTGTGTGCAGGTGGAGATGGGGAGAAGTTAGATTTGCTTCAAATTTAAAGGAGA